GTAAGAAAGCCTACTTCAAGGTTCACACTAGAATTATGATTTTTTGAATTACTACTAATAATACTTATAAAAGTGGATACTCCGTTTGAAACTACGTCACATCAATGAAATTGGTTGACACCACTGTTTTTGTTTTTGAGCTATCATGTAATACAAAACAAGCAGAAAAAAGAAGAACAAGAAATTCAAACTTTTTGCTGTGATATTTACAGAAGTTGTGACTCAGTCATTACATAGATAATGTTATAAAATGAGACACTGTATAGTATTGTGAAGTTCTGAAGACGTATTGAGAAGATATTTAAAATACCATTTCGATGAACAATCAGAGCCATTCCTACATAGGCAGTGCTACCGCCTGTCTGATAACATGAAGTGTGAAGGGATAATCCATGAAAACACATCACGTTACTAAGCGTGTTGTAGACAAGAAATGTTTTCCCTATCGCCCCCACCCCTCTTCGTACAGTAATGTTTACTTGCGCTAAAGGTCTGGTTGCAAAATAATCGAAACATAAATCTTAATAAAATGTTGATATTTATGAGTTTAGTCATAAGTAAAAATAAGGTTCACACATTAGTTAGTTTATTTCAACTGTTTGTAAAATGAACATACGTTAGATGATATGTTGTGTATTGTGTCTGACGTAGATTCATGTTAAGACTCAATAAAAATGCGGTGGATGACATATTGTGTCTGCTGTAGTTTCTTGTTAAGGCTGAGCGAAAATATGGTGGATGACATATTGTGTCTGCTGTAGTTTCTTGTTAAGGCTGAGTGAAAATATGGTGGAAGGCATATTGTGTCTGCTGTAGTTTCTTGTTAAGGCTGAGTGAAAATATGGTGGATGACATATTGTGTCTGCTGTAAATTCATGTTAAGACTCCCTGAAATTGCGGTGTATGACATATTGTGTCTGCTGTAGTTTCTTGTTAAGGCTGAGCGAAAATATGGTGGAAGGCATATTGTGTCTACTGTAGTTTCTTGTTAAGGCTGAGCGAAAATATGGTGGATGACATATTGTGTCTGCTGTAGTTTCTTGTTAAGGCTGAGCGAAAATATGGTGGATGACATATTGTGTCTGCTGTAGATTCATGTTAAGACTCCCTGAAATTGCGGTGTATGACATATTGTGTCTGCTGTAGATTCATGTTAAGACTCCCTGAAATTGCGGTGTATGACATATTGTGTCTGCCGTAGATTTATGTTAAAACTCGGTCTTGTCATATACATTTCATAACCAGTTCTACAGCTATATATGATGAGGTTAAACCGCTGTTCTTGAGCAACAAATGCACAGAGATACGTCGCTGAACCTTCTGGCTTTCACTTCAACGTCATGTAGCGATCACAAAAAAATACAAATTGTAAAACCGTATATCAGTGACAGTTTTGTTATCTTTAAAGAAACTACTGCTACCTATAAGGTATACATTTGATAAAACCCTTTTAGTGCACGTGTATTTTTACTATTACTCGACTACAGTACCTTTACCTTTCACGCAATTATTATTATCATTATTATTACTATTAAAAAACATGTAGGACCAGTCTTATAAAGTATACATGCTTAACGAACGATAAAATGTTCTCAAAAGCATAACCTAAGAACAGGTTTTCTCCTTGTGTAAAACGTCATTGACTGGCAAGACGTTAAAAAATGCACTACATAAAATAATAATAATTAGTCAACCGAGGAAACATATCAATAAAACTATGGTCTATATAATTGTTATTAATTATATCAAACAATATAATCACCCCCCCCCCTAAAAAAAATGTATTGCAAATATTTTATTATTACTTTTTCATTTAGTTGCACTGGGTTGAGGTATTATTATTATTATTTGGTTCTGAATTCAGCTTGTTAACAACCTAGAATATGGTGGTACCGTTTTTCTTCATCATTGAAGCGGCCATAATTTTCATAGTGTACTTCAGCATCTTCCAGCACGTTCTGATGGTTTCTGTTTGAGACGTATGGTCGGGCGTAGCATAGTGGTTGACGTGTCCAGATTGTGAATTGTTTGTTTGTTTTGAATTTCGCGCAAAGCTACACGACGGCTATCTGCGCTAGTCGTCCCTAATTTAGCAGTGTAAGACTAGAGGGAAGGCAGCTATTCATCACCACCCACCGCCAACTCTTGGGCTACTCTTTTTACCAACGAAT